ATGCGAGACATCTCGACACCATTCCTCGTCCGGCAGCGAACCTGGAAAATCTATTTTTGCCGTCTGGAGGCGAAACGGAGTCAGAGGCGGATGGAGCTAATGACTGAATAAAGTCGTAAACTTCATGAAGGACTATAGTTCGTATTTATCTCCCCATACCCGGTGAGCCCTAATGAGTGTCACCCTGAATCGCGATATCCGTGTGCCTCCTCAATGGGATTGGGTGAAAACTTTGAGGATGGACGTTTTCTCCTGTCCCTGAGGCCGAATCGGACAACCAGGGGGTGCAATCGAAAGCTCTCGGCGTCAGCTTTCTGATTCCGAACTCAGAAACGGGCTCCCGGCGCTCATTCCGCAGTAATCGGGCAAAAAAGAGGCGAATCGGGAAAATTCCGCAAAAATACGGATTTTAGCCGGGGAAAAGATAATTTTTTTAAGGCAAGATGCACCCCTTCGATTTTCCCGGTTTGATGGCTAATGGTCGGGGGACACTTGGGACTTCTATCTGACATAGTATCAAAGGTGCGTCTCGTGTAGAAGTACTAGAACGGAGTATAAGAAAACTGAGGTTCCCGATTTTCAAAGCCTTAGAAGAGGCCGATTTGGTCGAGAGGGGTCTCAAACGAAAGCTCTCGTCGAGAGCTTTCGATCGCGCTATCGCTCGACTCTGTAGCTGCAGCCGATCTCGAGATAGAAGGGTCCGAAGGTAAAACTTCTCCGGGCGTTCACGGGGATCACGAGGTGCGATCGGATCCGGGACCATGCGGAAAATGTTCCTCTCGAAATTACCTTCAAAATGAGACCCCACTCGATCAGATCGGCTTCGGAGGGCAGAATTTGCATAGGTTTTGCCCAGACCCTTTACATCCCTAATCATTGCTTGTTATGGAGGAAGAGAGCATGATCCCTGTCTTACGTCTCCAACTTCCCCCGAGGATGCGGTCGAAGGAACCCTCTGGAATTGATTCTCGCCAGAAGAAAGAGGAGGAAATCGTGCCCCGAATTCAAAATATCCCGTGTTTCAACTCCACCATACCCCGACTACCATTCGCCGGAACCCTATAAACTTCGACAACTGCTGCGGGTGCATGTTCGGTGGAATCTCTCGGGGGATCGGCGGGAATCGAGAAACTTGGAATTTTTATCCGTCCGCGGACACTGATCACCTACCTGCTAGTTCTCAGGAAACCAGCGGGATGGCTTCAGGAGCAACTCTCAATATATCTATGATTTCAAGACGCATCGCGTTTCATTGACGGCAAAGCCCCTGGCGGTAACTGAGTCGCGAGCCGCTCCCAGAAGCTGGCCAGCCAACAGCTTTCCCCCAAGCCTAGAACGTAAGGCAACGCAGCTATCGAGCGGTGTTTCCGAAGGTGCTGAGTACTGAAGTCGCTAGGGACGATAATTCCACGGAATGTGGACTGGAAAGTCTCCTGAGAAATTCGAGCCATCCAGAGCTGACGCGGCCGTCGATACTCAATCGTCGAGAAGCGCTGGCGCGATCGATGAGTTCCAAGAACCCCGGTTCCATGGTGTCAGAGCGAGAGTCCAGGCCCCATTAATTGTTAATTACATTGTCTCATCCACGCTTGCTCAATGCTCTCGAAGGACGTCTTGAAGCGTAGTCGCCCAGTGCCCACCGCTTGATCCAAATGGTACCATTGCGCCTTGATAAGGTCGTAGTCGGGACTCTGCGGAGGCCATACCATACACTTCTGCTGTCCCTGCGACCTCTTCGATTGCAGACAATTTCGGCACAAGCTGAAAATGTGCTTAGAATCGTTGACCCGCTGGATTGTGAAACCGTGTCCGATCAGAGCGTTTCCAGGAGGAACGGCATGCTGCTCTTACAATATTTGCAAGTAGTATAACCAGTTCACGCAACCCTGGATTTTCTTGATATTGCCGACACTTCCACAGCAAAAATCTCCGCGATCAGTTTGTGATCCCCTTGCGTGCTCTACATCAGGCTGCAGACAAGCTGACAAGCGGCGTCCCTAGTCGGAAACCTCGAGCCTCGATCCGACCGTAGGGGGTCTCTCCTCGAGTCGGGTTGCGACCAGCTCTTGTGTTCTTGTGCCCGAGCCGATCCTGCTCCTGTGTCCTCTATGAGATCACCCTTCACCACGGATTTCCCGAGCTGTTCCGGAGCGATTGCGCTCGCTCATCGTATTCATGCTTTCACCTTGGCTTGTCAAAGCTTTCGCCTGTTTCATCATCACGTGCCACTGCTATCGAAGCGCCGCTGAGGGCAAATTATTCCCTATCAGAATAAGAATTTCAGAAATATCATACAAATCATGGTCTCGAGAGTTTCGTATATGTCTATAGAGACCGTATGGATTCCTGCCTCAGCTTCCCTGCTATCTAACGATTGCCGTGTTACGAGATCATTCCGGGGCTGTGAATTCCGCGGTCTCTCGGAATCGTGCCTGAGTCGCGAGGAGTCTCGACCGGGGAATTCGGGATCGCGTGAATCGTGCCGGTGAGTACGAAGCTCTGCATCATCGGATCATTGTCATTGTGATCACTGAATGAAAATGAGAAAAGCTGTGGATTTGCCGGAGTATACCGCGAGACTTTCGAGGCCATTCGACTCTAAGCTCCGAAGGCAACAGCGCAGAAATTGGGAATCAACTTAGACTGCGACTAACTCGCGAAGATCTATCGGAACAATGCGTACGTGGGATGAAGGTCGTGAACTGTGCATCGTTTGCAAGGCGACCGTGGGCTTCAGTCGGAACCAAACTTGTCTGAAGTACCTCTATAGTGTCGCTTTCCAGCGAAGAAATCGAGAGTGAGAGCCCGTCAGTGCGTAGTGCGGAGCAAAGAGACTTGTACCTGTAGCACCGGTGACCTAATATGTAGAAGGAAAGCCTGAGGAGCGACTTTCTTCAATGTGGCTCGTAAGAGCACCCGCCGGAGCGAATGCTCTTCCGCACCTCCCAGATATCCAGAGCCAGAGAGTCTTCCTGCGAGCTAATCTGAGTTCGGCGGCGGCGAGTCATCTCAAGCCTCTCCCTCCGTTTCAAAGCTTATGCCTCATTCCATGACTTCGGAACATTCTTTGGCGAGCCGGCGAGTCGTCGCGATTGTTTCCCATGAGACGACCGATATTGAGAATTGTTTCGTACTGAATGTGCTAGTCGTCCCGAGACGAAGAAACGGGGTCGACGCTTTCTTGCCCGAATGCGTGATTCTCGAGAGAACGAATCACACAGCAACTAGCTAGGCCACATTGCAAGTTTTGCTAACATATGAGACAACAAACTCGGAAGTTAGTGCGCTCGTGACTGACGATGCCGCGCACAAGCATGAAGCCGGGGCTGCCCCCCGCGATCGGAGCTCCTGACTGGCGTCTATATATGTGCACTGCTCGCATTTCGAATCTGATTCGCAAAATGAGGATCTCTTCGCTCCAGGGATTCTCCTCACCGCCGGCGCGTGAGGCAATGTTCAGACGGACGCTCAGCGAGAGAGGGGCACCGCTCCCTCCAGCGCCCGTGCTGACAAAATGGGACCAGGTACTTGCGCAGAGCTCGCAGAGTTCGTGATCCGCTGACAACGGGAAAGCATCGAATAATGACCAGCTTCGTATCCGACAAGGTGCAAACATTTCCTCCAAGAATTCCGAGACTATATAGCCGCGGTGAACGTTTTTTTCTCCTTCCAACTATTCCATCAACCGCTCGAGTTTCGGGCCCGAATATCGTTTCGATTATCTTCGCATTTCTCTCAGTGTCATATTAGATAGCTACTGACAGCTGCGGGAGGATCTCTCGGTCAGTATTCACTCCCGATTAGGACTAAGAAATACTAATTGACCACCTCCTCCGCTGCTACTGCGCAGCACCGCCAATGAGTGACTGAGTTGGTGGACTCCATCGATGAATCGATGATTCCGGAGCGATTTCCCGTTTGCCGCGCGGATGCAGACAACCAGGCCCAAGCTAGCCAATTGGATGTATCATTTGAGAAGATGCTCCTTGAGAAATACGGCGACATAGGCGTCCCTGAGCATTCCTATCTATTCGAAAATGAGTGAACGCAAGTCTCCTCAGTGCAAGTCAATTATTCGAAGGATCAGTGAAATTTTCTAATGAACTGTTCATCCATTTCTGCCAGCGAAGGAATCAGCTCCGAGTGACTCCCGAATGAGCTCTAAGTACCCTCGTATTGGGAATCAAAAGCGTGGAAAAAGCTTTTAATCGGATGTATAGGGAATACTGGGGTACTTAGCGACTGCCGCAGACAATGCCACTCGGTCTAAAAGCGCTCAAAGACTGAATGCGCTCACGACTGAAAGCGCTCATGACTCGATGCGCCCATAACTAAATGCGCTGGGACTGAATGCGCTAATGACTGAATGCGCTCGGGACTGAATGCGCTCATGACTAAATGCGCTATAAGATTATATGCGCTCGGGACACTTGCGCTCAGAGACTATTTGCGCTCTAAAAAAATTAGTTAGGCCGCTTCGCGGCCTAACTTATCTCGCCCCCCACCTCACTGACCTAGGTTTATAGCCGAACCACATCCGGAACTATGTATGCCTTCACTATGAATGAGCGCATATAGTCGTGAGCGCATTTTTTTAGAGCGCAAATAGTCTCTGAGCGCAAGTGTCCCGAGCGCATATGATCTTATAGCGCATTTAGTCGTGAGCGCATTCAGTCCCGAGCGCATTCAGTCATTAGCGCATTCAGTCCCAGCGCATTTAGTTATGGGCGCATCGAGTCATGAGCGCCTTCAGTCGTGAGCGCATTCAGTCTGTGAGCGCTTTTAGACTACACCCTCACTCTCACTCTACGCTCCGATAGAAATGAGAGAAGCATAGGGGAAGTTCTTTGTGCATCAACATGTAAGTATGAGTGACAGTAGTTTCATTCAATTTCATTTATTCATATCAGTGGGGGACGCTCCCGCTAGCCGAGGCCACGTGAAACATTCGAATTATCATCACAGACACCTAGCAGCAACGCAGAGGTGCTCTTGAGAACTTATAGTCTAACTTTGGGCGAGGATTTCATCAGTATCCCCCCGCTGAAGGTTCCAGGTCTCGAGCTCATAGAAATCAAAATCTCCGGTCTCTTCAGCGAAAACTGTGCGATAGCCCTCTTGCTGATCCGTGCGCAATCCAAGGTCAGGCGACGCAGCTTAAGAGCTGTAAACTCGAGGGTACTGAGGATGCCCTTCGAGAGTGAAGCACCTGAGCTCAGCGCAAGCTCACGAAGGGATTCCTCATGCTCGACGAAATAGCGCACTCCGCGGTCGCTCACACTTTCACAAGAATAGAGACTGAGCCTGGTCAACTGGGTGTGCAGGATGGCTATACTCGCAAGTCCCGTATCGCTCAGAGGGCTGTCCCAGATCAAGAGCTCCTCTAAGGCCGGACAAGCAAGCCCATAATGGAATGTCACGTCCGTGATTTGGGTCGCGCCGACGAGCTCAAGTTTTCTCAGGTTTTTCAGGAAACGCAAGTTGAGCGTATCCCCATCAGTGAGGTGATCACAGCTCAGCGTGAACTCCTCCAGCCGACTCAAACTCTGGACGAGAATTGCAAAACCTTCGGGTGTAGGACTCTCTGCCAGAGTCAAGCATCGGAGCTCGCGCAAAGCGGCGACGCCGTTGTAGCTGGCGATCGTGTCCGGAATCGATGATAGGTTTAGAGACCTCAGACTGGAAAGTCTCCCTAGGATTCCGAGCCATTCAGAGCCCACTCGGCCGTCGATGCTCAAATGTCGAAGACCCTTGGCGCGATCGATCGACTCGAGGAACTTCGGTTTCTGGGAACGGGAGGAACAGTACGGCCCGAAACGAACGTCCAAACTCTGCAGCTCACCACAGTCGCTCAGGACCCTCTCAAGATGCTTGTCATCGATTCGATCGGCACTGCTCCAGTGTAGGGTCAGATGGCGCAGCTCCTTGCACCTTCTGACAGCGTCGATCGTATCGTACGTGAGCCCATCGGCACGGGGCACGCGCAGCTCTTGGAGACTCCCCGAGAACTTGTTCAGAAGGGCCATCATAGCTTCATCGTCGACGTCGGTCTGCGCAATTTCCAATGTTCGCAGTTCCTGCCTCGCGCTCAACAGGCCAGAGACGTCGTATACGAATTTGGATCCGTTGCCGGTGTGCAGCCTGGGCAAGTGGGCCAGACGAAGCGAGACGAGTTCGGGCATACGGTCGAGCAGACGACCGAGAGCTTCACTTGCGAATGGTATCTTCAGATCCAGATGTCGGAGTTTCAACTCGCCGCTGATATCCTCGGAGTTTTCCAACGCAACATCGGGTGAGTCGGAGTCGCCTGTAATTTTATGCAATTCATCGTATACCGCTCGCTGATTAACTCTCGTAAGGATGATTCCTCAGATGGCTTCAGGTGAGATATGGCGAACATGTGGCTGAATATAATAGATTTAAGATCCTAGCTCACCTTCAAACTCGAGTGACTCGAGGTTCTTGCAATGTCGGAGGATAGAGTACAGATCTTCGAATGACCAACGGCACTCCGTCGCTTGCAGATCTCGCAAATCCTCGCCAACTCGGATCCAAAATTCTGCGTCGAATTCGCTCAAATCGGCTGGAGGAGAAAATGTTTGAGTATTCGAAAAGCTTCGAACTCTCATCGGAAATCTCATACTTGAGAGTTCCCGTGTTCACGACGCATGCGAGACGACTCCTAGCTCCTAGACCATATCTCGACTCGGATCGCTCCCATTCAGTCCTGTATGCGGACAAGGAAGCTCCGTTCGAGACAATGGATGAACCCGAATCCCCGACCTTGGCATAAGCCAGATCGGAAACTTTCACGGTTCCCATTCCTCTTCAATAAGCACAGAAGAGATTCTCACCGTCGTGGATATGGAGATTGCGGAACCTCCGTCGACTCTTCTTCAGCAGATCTGACGCAGCTCTGGCATGCGAGCCCAGGATTGCGAAACGGACATCCTTCAAAAGATGCTGGGCTGCCAAAAGATCGGCCCAATCACGACACACAGACGCACAGGCGACCCGGTCGACGGGATGCAATTTGAGGAAGATCATCTCCTGAAGCTGGAATAGGAAAGCAGAGGATTAGGAGTGGCGAAAAAATGAATTTTGAACCTCTCGACGAGAGACTCCTCTGGGGCTTCCTCAAAAACTATTTGAAGAGAATGGATTACACACCTCGGGCAGCAGCTTGTCCATTTTCGATGTTTTCGAGGTTCCGACGCTTGAGAGCTTCTGAATCTCTCTGCAGGGACTTTCGACGGCGCTTGCTTCGGTACTCGTGGAGAGACGGGGACTCTCGATTGGATCTGTGCTTCCACTGACTCGAAGAGAATCATTACGGTGGTGAAATCTGCTGCTGGATCATTTTATACACGACTTCAGGGAGAGATTGAGGATGATCCGATAGGGTTTCCGAATTCACCGGCACCCCTTGCGGGCGGCTCACTCGCCTCTCTCCATTATCGCCATCTCATCACGGGGTACTGCTCGGAGAATTTCTCAAGCGACCCCGCCTCAGCTGGAATTCCATCGCATCATCAGCCCTCTATCAAGCTCTGGACGAACTCGTTGCGATCAAGCCTGAGCGCGGCCCATCACGGGTTGTGGGCAGGGTAATTCCGTGTACGATTGAGTGATCCCAGATGCTCGTGTTTAGGGGAGTGCGACTCCAGAGCTAGAGCTTCGAACTATTTTGTTCTTGACCGAGGTATAGGCAGGATCTTTCTCCCTGCCCCAGATGCGCCATTCGCAGAAAGCGTTACAGTAAAAACTCGTTACAGCAACCCCCATTGCAACGAGTTTCCTGTACGGCGAACTTTGAGCTCCATTATATTTGGCCCGCCGAATACGCCATGTTGAAAAAACGGTCGAACGAATTTCATTAGAGCTAAAAATCCATTCGAGAACTTCGAACCATTATAGTTTCCAGGCTAGCGGGGGCTGGTTAGCGAGATTCCGCAATCGATTCGGGATCCGCGCGAGACTTCTCTGCGGCGAATCTGCCGACGCCGCCACGGAGGAAGCTGATGACGATGACAGAATGTAAACACAGACATAATCGCTGATTACGCTTCAGAACGCGATTATAATGCCGACGAGACTGGCTTTTTCTACCAACTCCTGCCGGATCGCTCTCTGACTGTCAGGGTTGAAACTTTGCACGACCTACTTTGCCGGTCCTGAGAGGTTGGCTGTAACGAGCTTTCCCTGTATTCCCAGAAGAACGCCAATCCCTTACTAAGGGGATATGAGTAGAGCAATGTTAGTGAAGATATCGCCCGAAGATCTGAAGTTGATTCCCTGCCTCTCAGACTCTCAGAGCACTGTAGAACATTCGCGGAGCTTCGATACTTCTCCTCGGCAGCGGTTGACAAGAGAAGTCACCCTATTCAAGGCCCGTATATCATCTTCATCTTTCGGATCCTGAAGATTGGGGGTCGGAGAGGCGCCTAGAGCCGTGACTGTTTTTCACGGAAATAAAGAATCCGTGCTTCGCTCATTTCAATCCTCAAACCAGATCCGGTTCTCCGGAAAAACATGAGCAGGTTGACTGAGCCTGTAGTTCTTGTATCGAGAAGAAGACTTCTCCACCTCTAAGGCTCTGTAGCAGAACCAGTTTCTGCCAGCGAGGGATTCCTTGTCTTCGAGATCGAGGAGTCGACTTGCTGATTCGGTCGCTCAGTCCAGCGAAGAATTCGCGATTCCGAGCTGCAGCCATGTTTGGCTTGGAACCCAGAACTTGAGAGGAATCTTCCGCTTGGGACCCAGAATTTGAGAGGAATGTTTCGCTCTGGCCGAGATTCGAATTATCCGGGGCTCTCCGCTCTGATATCTCGGCTCCGAACATACCACCGAATCTCAAAATGGAAACGCCGATCCTTCAGGAGTCCGATTTGAAGATAGGTCACCGTCACTATCGGGTGACGGTGGTGGGAAAATGTCCTCCACCAAGCCTCCGTTCAGTCCTTTCGGTGTAATCTTACAACAATATCGGAGCGGCTCTTTCGAGAATTTTCTGGCCCGACGAAAATTACCGAGTACGATCCATGACACCGATGAGGATTGGATGCTCGAAATGAGGGACGAAGGGGTCAGGATCGGAAGCTGTCTGTCTCAAATCTTTCACAAATCTACGACAAGGAGAATCCTCCGACATCTCCACTTTGCGAAGGAAGAAAGGGAACACGTTCCCCACTAGGACGAGGAAAGCCATGAATCCCCCGTCCTCAGCTTATCAGCGGTCGTCGAATATATCTCCTACAGAACATTTCTCTCGCTCGACATCGGGGTTCCCTGTCAATGGTTAAGCTCGGAAGGCTTTAAAGCGAGAAAGATCGGGAGCCCCTTCCATTTCCCGCCGGGAAAAGTCGCACCCCATTTCTTAGAAAAGCTTGTATCCGGCTCCGAGACTGCGACGTCGGAACAATTTCGATCAGGATTCGACCGATCTCTTCCTTCCGTCTCCAACTTCGTGAATTCTTGCCCGAGTTTGACCCATCTTTCATTTGGGTCGCTCTTCGAGCTCAAGAGAACGCCTCCCAGGGGACACTCTAATCGAGTACACAACCCTCGACATCAGAATGACCATTCAAATTGGTTTGTTCCGTAGTAAATCTGATATCTATGCATTCTTGATGACGGTTTCGGGGGTACCCACGATTCATCGTCGGAAACATTGAAGACCTGCGCCCGTTCCCACCAGGAATGATCTGCGACTTCTCCCGTCAATTTGCTATCTGTCGGTCCTCGCGAACAGCCACTCGATCCTTCGGCTGGACGTTGAGTACATCAGCTTGCAAAGTGCCTCAAATTTCGTTTCGCACAATTTCGTTTCTCGGAATAAAGGAATTCATCGCAGGGGAGCCATTCCTTCTGCCCGAGCTACGTTGATGGAGGCCGTGAGCCAGACATATCATACACTATGCGTCCCGGCGGGACATCCGAAAGACCGGAAATGTCCGCGTTCGTCTGTGTATATTGTGCCTCGCGCGGCTAGATCTCTTTATGCGAAAAGAATTATCGGAACGCGTGCGTTTGTGGCGGAATACTGCATCGATCGTTGCTGACGGCGCGATCATTGGACTGCCTCGAACTCAATATTCGCAAAAGGCATGTGAAGGTTTTGCACCCGAAACATCCCGTGATTTACTCCCATATCAGCTAACATCATTTTCGGAACACCGTCAGCTCAGACGAACGCGCCAGGCGCATGTCTGAATGAAACTACGGGGAAACGGCGACCTTCGAGAAACTCCGACAGGAGACGCCTCCGCGGTCACCGATAACTCACCTGCTTGTCCTCACGTCCTCTTCACTTTGGTTACCGGATCGACTCTCAATGATTATGATGGGGTTCATTTTTTTATTTGATGTCATGCTCCAATCTACGGTATTCAAGATTGGTACTGTGGATTGGGGCGAAGCCGATCGCGAGAAGCATGTTTTCTTGGGGAATACCGTGGGAAACCGATTTGAAATCCTCCGGGATCTATAAACAAGGCTGCTAGAGCCTCCATCCGCAAGGGGGAGTGAGGGCAGGATTCCATCTTCGCGAGAGAATCTTCCACCTCGACCTCAATTAGTGATCGGCCCCACCCAACGAATGGGGCGAAACCGATCTTTGCTTGAGGATCATCAAAGCTCGAGGCTTCATGCAGAAGATAGCTCTATAATACGCAGAATATATGTACAGGGAAATGTTGTTCATGCAGTGGCGTGGATATGCCGGATGTGCGATGAACACGCCGGATATCAACCGGTGTTCCACATCTCTAGTTGCACATTCGGCATATTCAGTCCATATTGATGGCCTACCACGGTGCAAATATGCCCACTTTCGCGTCTAAACCTTCAAACGTCCCAATCCTTCCTAAAAGCATTCCAAAGAGTCGCTGCTTATTCATTCATTTATTTCTTTCTTTATTTATTATGATCACAGAGCTTCTTCTCGAGGATTGAGATTATTGAAAATGAGTCGGCCCCGCCTCTCAGACAGAGGATCCAATATCCTCAGAACTTGTGTCTTCCGAACGTACATGATGTCCGGCACTTGGGGATATACGAAATGATCTTGTTTGAGGCTCCTTTTGTATCGCAAAGATTTGACTTTTAAAATGCCGGTCGATACGACCGAGAGGATGCATCCGACGAATGAACGATTTACGAGGACGTAATCGTCCTTCTTGAAACTATGGTTTGCGATCGGTGCGAGCTCCGGTAAGGTTGGCGCGCTTGTGCTCGCCCGACTTCCAGTGTTCTCACACCGCTTGGGGCGTTCCGATGGCTCCGGTCCCGTGTTTCGATCAGCGTTTTCGCTTGCGAGATCTTGGCCCGGATCTACACGTTTGCCTCTCTTCCTTCGTGGTTCTGGCGTGCCTCCCCGCAGAGCTTTTAGGTGGTTTATGAGCTCGCCGCACCAAAGAGAGCCCGCGTGGACTTCGCTTACTTCGCTAGGGAACCTCTTCAAGAGCCTGGAACTATCCAACGGATGGATGCCACAGGCTCTGAACCCAGCGATGGCATTAGACTGCATCTTGTTTCCGACTTGTAACATTGCAGAAGAGAGCAGCCTTGGGAATTCAGTTTTTCCTCGGTTCCTGAACCTCCATTCCTCCAGCACCCGTCTCCACGCAGTTTTCATCGGTTTAAACCAGGCAACATCCAGGGGCTGACAAATGTGCGTGGAATTAGGGGGTAAGAGGATGAAGCTAATGCTCATTTCCCGACACTTCCGGACAACGAATTCTGAGAGGTGACTTGATACGTTGTCCCCTATAAGAGCCTTCCGACCCTCGAGTCGAGAGAAGGAGGGCAACGCTACCTTCAGAAACCAGTTTTCAAAGACGGCGGTGTTAAACCAGCCGGACTCATCTGTATCGTATACGGCTTTTTCAGGACCACCTTCAGTCCATGCCTCGTACAAATGCTTTGCCTTGTAGACGATGTAGGGTGGGAGAACTTGACCAGAGGCCGAAATCGCGAACATGACGCTCGTGTGAGTTTTGGAGTGATCCATGACTCTTTGAGCATTTGGAGTCCCGCGTCGAAAAACGGATTTTGGCCTGCCTGGATCGTCTAGAAAGCCGGTTTCATCGTAGTTGACGATGTTTTGCGGAGGAATGCCTTCGATCGATGTCTTCAAATTGTCGAAGTAAGCGGAGACGGAGTCTCGGCTCAAGGCGGCTCGGGCTTGCTTAATATTGACGCCGAAACGCAGCGATAACTCTCTGTGCCTTTCGAGGAAGCCATCCACCCAATCGGGCCCGGGCATGTTATTTTTAAAGACGCTCACTCTCCGCCCACTTCTCTGGAGGTATCGATGCGCAATTATTCGTATTTCGCTTTTGACTACCGGGAACCCCCAATCTGCGCACAAGGAGAAACAGTGGCAGTGAATACCGTCTGTCCCCGTAGGATTTGGAGTTTTTCCGACGCAGGTTTTCCCACAATGTTGTGTAAGGGATACCGAACTTTTCCGCGGCTGATCTTATCGAGACTTTCTCATTCACCACATCATCCATCGCCTTCTGTAGTCTCTCCGCTTCGTACCAACGATTTACAGAGGATCCGATGACTTTCTTGTAAGTCCGAGCCATGATCGGCTCCATCCCCATGAAAAGTGAAATTCCATTCAAGACGGCCGGGTAACACTTCCAGGAACATTGCGATTCTAATAAATTAACCCAATCGACCTCAAATAGGGGATAACCGCTCAACAGAATTTCAAAGCGCTGCGAGGCGTATTTCCGGAGATCTGGACGAGACTATCCGTTGAAGGTTGAGATCAGAAGAAACACGCGTCTGGTAGACTATGATTTGGCAACTTCGTTCACCTCCGACGTTAGAATGAAGCATGTCGATGTCGTTTCTTATGTTTGAGGAAGCGATCCTCATATTCAGATTCGCCCGCTTCGACGGCGGCGCGCTCGAAATTCTGTTTGACTGCTTGAAGTTTTCCCTGATCGACTTCGACCCCAAAGATCGGCTCCACCCCAATATACAGTACTGATGCTGGACTGCGCCATCATTCGTTTCGGCACCGGTTGAGTAAACGTAACGTCTGCGATCATATGGGGTTGCCAAGAGAGACCGCGCAGCATTCGGACTCCCACCTCTGCGGTAATTCCTCGCCTGTTCTCCAAAAAAGTTCCGAAGCACATGCCGGACATAGGCCTCGCTATCGAGTATGGAGAAAGCCTTTTTCCTTCTCAAAGGCTCACGTAACTTCCGTGGAGGTATGCGCAAGACGTATTGCGTTTCATTGACGGTGAACCCCCACGGTCGCTGATCGGCATGCCGCTCGAAGACGTTAGCCTGCCTATAGCTTTTCCCCAGCCGACGAATCACACGCATTCGTAAGATTACAATCATAATCACACGTGTGATTATGATCACGGTCATAATCATACTCAAGCGTATGATCACGGTCATAATCATACTCAAGCGTATGATTACGGTCATAATCATACGCATGCGTATAAATACGATAAAATCATAATCACGGTGAAAATTTGCCCCACACTGGTCTCGATCGCTGTCGGATGTTGCGCCCCGGAATTCATGCGCGATTATCGCGTAGACCATGTTTAGAGGAAAAAATTGACGGTATCGGAGCCCCTAGTTCGACGGCACTTGGAAGGTAGCGGTCCGCCCACAAATAGGCGTCCAGTTGTCACCTCGGGTGGCTATATGAGCAATGATGCGATATTGTCTCTTGGTGTTCGTAGGTGGCAATGGATCCGATTATTGTGTTCTCTCCAGCTCGAAGCGATTAATTCTTGGATCCGGAGCTGCTGGCGCTGCAGCTGTTACCGTGGATGCTTAGACATAAGTTGCTCCGGGCCCTTCCAAATAAACGAATCCCGAGTGGCCCATGGCACTGCGTCGGTGCCCGTCTCCGCGGAGCGTTCCGATGAGAGCTTATTCATCGCTATCGAGCTCATCATACGCAGACGTTTCGGGGAGAATATTCGAGAATTTCGAGTTGTTTCGTCTCAGCACGCGGAGAACAAGAGTATAATGAGCCAATGATTGCCACAATGCAGAACGATAGATGCCGCGTTGCAAAGGTTCGAAGGGGGGAGCCATATGTTAGGCACTTTGCCGATCCCAGGTAATACGCCGCATCCTTAGGTCGGGGCTCGCGCGATCCAGAGATAAGATACGACTCGTCTGGTAGAATGTCGAACGGTGCGCGATACATGTGACGAGCGCACGTAACCCACAACCGCGGCATAGATATAGGCACGTCGAAGTGAATCAGTGTGTCACGAGATGTACTGAAGGAGCGACCGAGTACGGCCCGCACGACGGTCCGCGAAAACTGAAAATGAAGCGTAGGACGCGAAATGCTGAGCAGTCGCGGGGACGTCTGCGGTTCATGACATATATTCACCGGCGGCAGTCGCCTTAGATCACCGCAGAAAATGATGTTCCGACCGTCGAACTGTAAATCATGTCCCATATCGATATTCTTTGCTTCGAGCTATCGTTCATCATGTTGGATATCCCAGAGCTTATCATGCTTATCGAAAAAGATAATTCCGATGTTAGCTCGTCTGACGAGTCGCTCTGATATGTTGTTCCGGACGACGTTGGAGGGTTTCTTCGTGAGTCCTAGCAAAAGCTCGAAATCGATTCAATCACTTTCGCTGGAAGCGAGCATGCACACATGATAGAATGTCCGTATGAGCTTGCTCAGGGGGACGGATGATGGATATCGATGATACGGTGGATTCGTAAAATGAGTTTATTGATGTCGACTATCCGCCAAATATTAGCTGATTGAAGCCCTTGCACTCCGGACACATTAATCGTACGACCGCAGATATGCGAATATTTTCCACCACGATGTGCTCTTCGTTACAATCACAAGTGAAAGAAGAACGAATGACTTGACAAATTGAGTACTATTACGACGGTATCGCGACATCAGAATGTGTATATACCAGTTTGTATCGATTGATCGCATGATGCAATGCGATGTCCCAGGAGAAATGACCGTATAATTCAAAAGCGTCCTCAAGGCGGATGACCAGTTATTTAGAGTATCTCGTGATGCACGCGTTGAGTTTGTCTGCCCAAAGATTGGATTCGTCTTCCGCGTACGTCAGTAGCTGTAGCTCCGAGCTTCCCGACAGTTTCAATGGGAAGTAGAAGAAACTGAAGCTCTGCTCCACCCGAACGGTGTTGACAGCTTGGGAGAGATCGAACGATCGGATGGGCTCCTGAAAAGAGAGGAATCCACCCTTGAATCGATTGGAACTGGGAATGCATTGATGTGTCGAGGTGAATGAATAAATGAACAAATGACGTGTGCCGCCTCCAGCCCTGTCGATGAGAAACGAAAAAACACGAACCTGGTCTTCTTCAGCGGCTCTCATGTCACTCCAGAGCTTTAGATGGTTACCTTCGATTGCGGCAAAGTACGACGACATGAAGCCATTCGAGTCCTTCAAGCGAAGCATTCCGCAGTGCGAGACTTTCGGGGGCATGTTCAGCTGGATCTTCATGAATATCCGACCATCCAGAGGTGAATCGTTAAAGTAGTTGTCTAAGTAATGCACTTGTCTGCGGGGTGAGGTATCGCATCAGAAAATTGAACCGTCTGCGTATCATTTTCCATGCATGAGGCTCGTACTAACGTACTTGTCTAGTGCGATTAGACTCTCGTCCAACGTCACTTTCCCGATGAGCCCAAACGAGGGTTTCCGTATTTTCGCTTCTTCAACCTGAGGAGTCCCCTGATTTTTCTTCTTGGACGGTGTGAAAGCACTGAGGATGCCACCGCTCTTGCCTGCCTCCTTCTCTTTTTCGCGTCTTTTCTTCTTCATGGAGACCTCGTATTCGGGATGATTGCGGTTCGGAGCTTGCTGCAATCCGAAGAAATGAGGGGACGAATGAAGTAATCCAGAATACTTCCCATCATTCTATAGCATGATCACCAAAAGATTGATCCCTCCTCCGGATCATTCTCTCCCATGGAAAGTCGTTGCCGAAGGCGGCGAGCACTCACCACAGCGTACACTTTCACGAAGACTCTGAAGCCTTCCTGTAGATTCTTCAAAACCATGTGGTGGTTGAGACTCACAGATCCCCCAAGGATTTCTTCGTCGGTGGAAACGAGCTCTGTGTGCAGCAACGAGGCTCTCGACTGTACGAGAACAATGAAATAATGCGTGTTCTCCAGCACATCGTTACACTGACGCTTGTACTTGAGAAATTCGTTCTTGTACGGAAGCTTAATATCGCAGATGGTCATGGTTCCACTACTTTTCGGGACGCTTTTCTGGACATTCAGCCTTTGCAGCTCACTCTGAGCCACATGGTGACGTTCGGCTGGAATAATGGCGCGTTAGACCCCATCGATCAGAAATAACACCGATCACCAATTACTTTGAGAGTTGCCGGAAAAATTCCCCACAGATAATGCACTCACTTGCGATGAGCAAGAGCCGCTCGGCTTCCACCTGCTGTTCACTTCCCTTGTCTCCGGTCTCTTGGCAGACCATGAGCGCGTTGCTCGTTTGCTTCATGATGGATTCTTGTTTGACCAATTCCTCCTCCATTTGCTTTTTGTAGGACTCCAGAGCCTCGACGGCTTCTTCGTCGTCGACCATGGCCTCTTTGCCCTCGCGAATCTCTTGCATCATGTTCGAGGGTATTTGGTAAACAATGCGTTTGACATTGGCCTCACGTTGTTGAGCTTCCTTCTCGTCTCGTCGGTACTGGCTCATTGTCTTCCGTAGGGGAGTTCCGAGATTTTCCTCGGACGATGTGAACGGTGTTGGGGTGCTGTGACCGTCTTCTGGGATTCCGGTGATTCTCGAAATGGTGTCGTCGTGCATGAAATTTTCCGACTTCTTCACAATTTGGGGCGACATCAACAGCTCATCGTCCGGTCGGCATTCAGATAACTCCTCGTCTTCTCCGGCCTCTTCTCCAACTTGATCGAGTGCCTGCCGTTGGGACTCTTCGCTTTTCTCGCTGATTGACATGAGAGTTTCGTCTGGCGTTCGGTGTCCATGGACCATGAGGTCTTGGAGCCGATTCTTCAATTTCGACGAAACTGTTCCGACCTACGGAACATTGAAGAATAATAAGACCAAGAAGGGTCGGGATTTGACTTTCCGGGCTTCCCATTACGTACGACATGATGTGTCATGTAATTTCAAAGAGCTAGAAAATGAATGCGTTGGCTGACCTTTCTAGGCTCTGGCTCCCTCTCTTCCTCAACTACTGGATCCTTCTGCGTTTCTGGCGGTGCATTCGCGAAATCGAAAGACTCCGAAGCTGAATCCTCGTCCGCAACGGAATCCTCGTTGATTCCCTCCTCCGGACCGATTTGGTCGACGAGAGGATTCTCCTTCTTTCTCGGCGATACGACGGTGTTGCAGACCACGGGCTTGGTAGGTACTACTGGAAAAAAACGGGCTGTATAACCGAAACCAACGCTAGGAGGACCAGCACGTGCAGTGTGGCATCAAAAGATTAGAAAAAAGACGGGAACCTACCAAGAACCTTCTCGCTCAGAGTTTGCCTGCACTGCTCGTTGTATTTCGACGTTCGCTGACTAACGGGGACGTACACCGCATCAGCGGCCTTCTTATCGGCTTCCATTGCTTTTTCGAAGAATTTTGCTCGCGCCGAAACGCTCGCCATGGGTTTCGTGTCGATCTCACAGCGAGGTCCAGAATTGTCGACATTGAATTTGGAGATTTTGTCCGCGATCTTCCCGCGCGGTACGACCCTGTGGATAATTTTTTTACCGTGATTCCGCACGTCAATGAGCATGAGGAACTCGAGAGTCATTGGAGGGAGTAGCGGATTTTCTCCGTGGCTTACTTTGACTTGGGGATCGTCGAAGCCTTCACTTCCAACGTGTTTTGTTCAGGCTTGTCGAACTGTTTCGCTTTCTCGGCGACTCCGGCTTCACTCGGATCCACGCGACGGGTGGACGTCGCAACCTTGACCTCCGCCGGTCGATTCTGATCGCCGTGACTGATCGTGACGGTTGTCCTCTCGGTGATCTCCCACTTCTTCCGAATTTCTCCGGTATCCATGGCTTCGTCTGAGTTGGGCAGCGGAGGACTGGGGGCCTTTTTCTTCAGAAGTTTCTGCTGCTGCTGTGTCTGCACCGGAGGCTGCGGTGCTGATTTCTTCTTCGGCGTCGTCGGAGCTCCCGAGGTGGACGACGGCCGCTTAGGGAGGTCCTCTTCTAGCTCGGCATACCTTTTCCGGAAGAGGATGAGGCATTCATTAGACTACCGACTTCTCCACATCGAAGGTTCAAGGCGTTAGGACAACGATTCGACTCACGGTCGGAATCGATCCGGAGTCGAGCTCGTATCAAGATGGACATTCGATGACAAATGATGAATGGCACATCCACCAACATGCATTCCCCTCTCATGCAGAGCATAGCATCATCCGATACAATCGATTCATCTCTACTCTAAGCACCTTTTCGAAACTTCGTTGAGACGCGCCCTGGTTGAAGGCGATGCCTGCGAAAGAGTACTCGCAGTTTCTCGTCTCGGGTTCTTCGGAGAAACGGCGAACTTTGCCATGAATCCTTGTTTCGCGGGTGATGAATTTGCCTGGGCTTCGTTTTCTTTCTCTTGTCGGGGTCTTTTGGTCGGCGATAAGGCATCCTCCGGAGTCGAATTGTTCCCTCGGAGCTCTCTTTGGCGTTTCTCCATCATACGCCTGATTTCCATCTAAAAGCAGAAGGGGAAGTCGTATCGGCTCTCAGAGATGCACTCCGACCGAACTGAGGAAATATGAACAAGAATTCGAGACGAAACCGTCCGAGTAGATTGCGGACCAGAGCCCACCACCGTTTCATAAGTAATCGGATTCGCAGTAAAGCCTCTCTGATTCCGCGCCTGATTCCGCCGGTCATTCGCAACATTCCGAATCCATGAGCACGTAACAATCATTCAAAGTTTTCGCTCGGTCGGAGCAAGGAATACAGAGAGCTTAGCACCGCTTCCGTTGAGGTATCTTGCCAACGGTTTCCCCGCAAACGTTACTGAGCGCCCTTTGCACACCAGTGAGAATCCACAGAGGTCCTCATCGTTGGTTCCACCTAGCGTGACTCACCGGATCAAAATCCATCGCTGGCTTAGGATGTGAGCATCTAATGCGGTACGAACTTCTGAGGAATACTATATTCGATCGTTTCTTTTACGCTGTCATCTGGCTCTCGCGGATCTGGCGCCGCTTCGAGTGCTTCGAAATCGAAAACAAAGATGGCGGCCATTCAAAAAAAGCCGCGTGGGCTCCCTCATCGACGGTTCACCCCGCCGCGAGAGACTCGACATGGATGATGATCTGCGATCCTCTCGCACACTCGTCTCGTCAGACCTCTCATTGATGGCAGCAATGATATCTTGAGGCCAAGTTCCAGGGAATGTATCGAACTAGACCGCCTGATCATAGACTTCTCCGGCGAGAAGCTTCTCTGTAGAATATGAACCGAGCGACCGTCGACCCGCAAGATTTATCTGAACTGGAGTCATCTCACCGGACCAGTTTTCCCAAGCTCAGCCCAACCTCGTGACCCTTTGAGAGCTTCGATGTAGCCTATGTAGAGTGAATGCGCGAGCTGCCCGCATCCTTTCCGCTCGGCGTGCCAGTGGAAGGACCCCGTGATATCGCGTTCACGTCGGGAGTCCGGATGAGCTTCGCTATATGATTCAGCATGGGCGCGCATTATTTGATTTCAACGTATCTTTAATTTCGTCGCGAGACATTGATCAAGCAAACATTGGTGAAAGTTCCTTTATATTTACATCGATAGACAGTTTTTTCTATCACCTGAAAACCTTTCTCTTTATCCGGCTGTCTCCGCCATCGAGAGAGGCTCATCATGACTAGCTTTTCATCTTCTTCAGATATGCTTATGTACATACATTCCGCCCATAAGCGATGATTAATTATCAGCGATGGGACCTTCACCCGCGCGAGTCCGTCATGGCCCACCACTGATGGCCGAAGCCGCGCATCCCGACCCGACTTTGAAGGGAGTCACGCGTAAGCGTGCTTCTAACAACAGAAAAATTCTATCTGACGAATGCATCGTCCTTGGTCGATTAGAGATTCCTTCGAGGAGCGTGGGAGCCCCCTGTCGTGCTTACCAGATGAAGGGAACGATCTGGTATTTAACTGCCCGACGGTACTCTTCCCAGTATTTTCCATACTTCATCCCGCACTTCTGCTCATCTCTAAACGAGCGATGTACCAAGAGAACCGCGAGGAAGGTCACGTATGCATACGGAACGACCGCATAGCCCACAGGCAGAGTCCAGAATAACGCTGCCAGCACTTCGAAGACATAGTTGCAATGCCGGCTCAGAGACCAGAATCCCGAAGCGAGGAGTAGAGACTGCCGCGGCTGACCCTCGCTGTCGATATATTTGGCGCGGAGGACTTTAACTGGCCGGAACCAAATAGTACATTTTCCTGAAGATAGATGTTCGAATGAGGTATTCGTAAATATCTCCGACCACTTGAAAACCTCAAATTCACTCTTCCTCGAACAATCGAGCTCACCGTCGGTTTTCCGGGCGAGTTGTCGCTGATAGTCACACCAATAGTTCAGGAAAATCCAGAGGAGGCCGAAACTGACAATAGTTAGGAATGTAGTCGCCGTCATCGGCGGCGTTCGCCCGAGAAGGGCTAGTGATGGGAGCGAGTAGAAAAACGGGACGAAGCAGATACAGCCCCAGCAAAGCATGTAGCCTGATGAGAGAAAAAGGTTTCATGAGCTTAATGGGGAAATTTCTCTCTATCGAAGATCCTAATTGAGCGCCTAAGAAATCCGGCATCATTACCTGCTCTGTCAACGATGATGTCAATAGACTGCATGTAGCCATCTTCCCACCAGAAGAATTTGGTGATGTAGACGCTCTGGAGCACGGCAGATGCCAACATAGCGTAGCTGAAGCCGTACTTCTCAAAGTGCGCGAACGTGAAAACCAAAACTGCGACCTGCCACAGCATCATTCCGAACCGGCAGTTCGTCACCTGTTTGATGTCGATACTGAACAAAGAGAATTCGCCGTTAGAGTTTAGGAGCAGTTATACGGATCACGCGACCGTCAGGCTTGAGGTGTTGGAGCGAATGGTCCTTGTTCTAGTGAGCAGCTCAATTTCATTCATCGAGTCTATGGGCTCTCGTCCCGTAGGGTGGGGTGAATGTTCCGCAGCTGAGCTTCGAATTCGCACTTCAGCTCTTCAAGTCTCGCGTATACGGAACGTATCAGATGAGCAACCTTCCAATCATCGGACTCAAAGAGGAAGGCGTTCCTATTCAACATGAATTGTATGATAGAAGAGAGATTCCTCGAGCGCGGGAGTCCAGGGGGAATTTCCAATACCGACCCGTCGATGCACCATCCAAGAGTCTCAGATGAGCGGTAGAGGCAAGACCTCATTGGGACAGATCAGAGGAAAGATAAATCGAGGTTTTTACTTGGTTTCTGCCACCGTCGAGAATCGGTAGTCGCGCGTATCGCATGGGATCAATATTGCTCGGAGCCCCAATTAGATGCTCGCTCACCTCTTCCCTATTCTGGGATACAATTCTGTCCCCCAATAGAAATCGAAGATGATGTTGCCTGTAGCTCCGTGATCGGATTCACCGGGGAATAGATATCCTTTTATCAGCAGGAAAACACAAATCGCGAATCCGGACGCCAGCATTGCACTCTGATAGTAATCCAGCGATACCACAAGGCTCCATGCCGAGACTTGCCCCGAGAGCAGGCTGGCCAGCGTCATAGTCGTTGTTAGCAGGTAGTACCTTCCGAGGGAAAATTTTCGATTTGATGATATCGAAGCGATCGGAGCTATCATGTCGGCTGTTCTCCGAAAATGGATCGCTCACCTGAAGCCATTCGCGTAATACTTAGGAACGAAACCGTTCTCAGTGCGAGGCCCGTTGTATTCTTCTCCTCCGAGCAGAACGGTCGAGGCACCCGCATAGCAAAAAAACAAGATGACGTGAAGCATCGCTGACCAACTCCACTTCAACGTACCGAAGGACATGAGGATGAAGTCCCAAATCGCCTAGAAAATGTCTCAAGATATGAAGTCATCCGAATCGATGCTTCACTTGGGGGTCACTCGAGTATCTCTGGCCGGGAGTCCGAAGCGAAGGTCATAGTCTCACCGATGGTTCACGTAAGTCAGTGAGAGACAAGCACACATCATCTTGACAATGGACGACGTAATGTCTCAACATAACAACCCCTATTTGGCTACTCAAGAGAGTCATCAGTGGAAAAATAGTGAAGCAGGCGTGATATTTGATGGATGAGATCATTTTGACCTCAGATGGACCTGGAATATCCAGAAACCCTCATTAGGAAGAAGTTTCCACGAACGTTACTTGAAACTCGAGCAACTTTGAGAAGTCAGGCATTCGTGATTTTCCCAGTTCTTCCAATGTCTTCGATTCGTGGCTGAGAGTCAGAAGAGCTCTTCTTTCATGCATAAGGAGAACCTTTTTCGTCGAAGCTGCTGGAGATTGCCGGCCTCTTGATCGACAACCTCGCCCGGGATGCGACTCTTGAATCGAAAGCGTCTTCCTCAATAGGTTGATCGAACAATTCGGTTGCTCTATTCGAATAATCTCATCTCGAAAACCTTTCGGAGGACATTGAAGTAGCTCATCTGAATACGGCGGACGCTTCACGGACCACGATTTCGCTCGTCGGAGCAAGCGCATGGACATCTCGAATGATGACTGTGATCCTCACTTAGCGCGATCCGAGGCTCGGGCCACTTCTATAGCCTGTCAGCCCCGGCTCGAGCCCTGAACCTTTTGCTCGCTTATGGAGACCAAGCTCGCCTAGTGACTCGTCATCTACGCCGAGAACTGTCGCTTTGCCCTGAACGGTTGCCGAGACCCAGTCATTCGAAAGTTAGCAGATGAACTTCCCGGACAACCTTGTGGTTGAGATATGAGGTTCTCATCTCATCGAAGTTCGAAGATCACCTCCTTCAGAGATAGCTATCCAATTCGAATGCACTACCCGAGTAGGGGTACCTGATATCGAGCACTCGACTTACAGCTCCCTGGTGAAGCATCGATCTGCGTAGACATCATGACGAGAATTCCTTACCCTGCGCGACGCTGTCCGTGCGTCTTATTCTCGCTTCGTTCGGCTTCTCAAATCGATTCTTTTCTAGGCCTGAGTCAGAATGAATACCTTGAGTTCTGTGACAGGGAGGAAGAGCGGAGATGATTTCCGACGCACTGAGGAGCTCTCGACTGTTGGACGATAAGGCTCCCACATGCGGACCTGGAGAGTATGGTCGCCCTCACTCTCGCCTGTCCCGTCTCTCGAAAGCGAAGTGGGACGGAAATAGTGCGCGGTATGAACGTCGTAAAAGCGGATTCAAATCTCATTGCGAATAACCTTTTCGCCTTCGGAGCGCCCGGGGAATCCCGCTTTATTGTGCAGGGAATTAGAAGATTGCAGATAAGAAGGAGGAAGGAATCACCAAACCGTCCCTCGATCGCTCGAGCCACTGCGAGGGCCAGAGGGGGAATTCCAGCGTAGCGTCATATCGCGTGGTTGAGAGTCGAGTCTGATCCATAGAGGTGACGCGATTGTTCTACGGAGAAAGCAGACAAGACGCCACAAGTATTTACCGATAGAAGACATCTGGAATTTGACTCTGATCATGGGCTTAACCAGATGATGAGATTGCCTGTCTTAGGCCTTTCACCTTACTTGGTGGCCTTTCGCATCTCCGTATTGACTCCGCTTCCCCATCCTTTTCGCCGAGAGTCTTTTTTGCAGCTTTGAGCGAAAGCTCGACCGTCCATCTCACGGTGCGTGAGCCTCGATTTGGCGCTCAACTTCGGCCGGCATCGTCAGTATCGGGCGCGGATCAAGGAGGGGGGAAGCGGTCGATCGATATCCACTGCCTAAGTAAGCCCGCCATGCAAAAGCAGATACCAGGTACGTCATCTTCGAAGCTTCGCCCTCCACACCGGAGGATTCTCGAATCCGCCCCTAGTCGGAATGTTCCATCGAATTCACCGGGGACCTACATTGTTCTGTTTAATCACTTAGTCCGCAGCGTTACCTGAAATTCTGGAGCCTTCGGATCCGACCCGAACGCCGAATTTAGATCTGAAGACTGAGATGAAAGGGACTAGCCAGCTGTGAAGGTAGCGTCCAGCACTTATAATAATATCACGAATATTGTAGCAGATCACTGAATAAGGGAAGGCTGTTTGAGCGTGACCGATTCTCCAATTCTCGAAGCGTAGCTGAGACTTCTGACGTGCGTTTTCGACTGGCTCACCCCCATGAGACAAGACCAGCCGGGTTTATTCTGATCGAAACGAAAAATTGCTGCCATGGTGCTCAGATGAGTAGGTATCCGAGATTTTAAGTGGGGAATCCACTCTCGACGGAATCCTGAATTCAAAGTCTCCTGCGCTCTCTTTCCTCGTCCCTCTCCGGTTTCCGTATGTAGCCACTCTGGAGCATTGTTCATACCGGAAGACGAGGCGAGGCGTATAAATGGTCTGAGCTATTCGAAAGCAATTTCATACCAGCTGACGCGGAGAATTAAACACTGCTTTCGAAACCACCGTACTGCAACTGATCTGCAGGGGATTCAGGGATCATATAACAACTATGATTCTGATGGTAGAATAAAAAAGCCGCGAGCCACGAATGTTTCGGAAATATGACTTCCGCTCCGTGCGCGCCGCTGGTCACATCGTCTTTGAATTCCTCGGTCGACCCCAACTACTCTGCATTTCTCGATCGCATGGAGCAACAAGAAGCTTGATGACCATTTACGATCTCAATTCTTTGATAATTCTGTCCGATATCGGTTGCCCGGCCCACCCAGATAACCGTGTCAGTCCCTCTTAAACTCGATCTGCATTGAGTATGCATCTCAGAGGCCGGAAGGATTCTTGCGAAACAATAGGCTGTGCATCTAGCGGAGCGAGCGATCCAATTGTCCCGCGTACCCCATGGTGTGAGATTTTGGGACTGCGACTGAATCGGTGCTCGATTGAGCTCACTTTCGATTCGAATCAGCTGAGCCGGTCGAATGATCAAGTTAAGTGAATTGTTCTGATTTCATTCCTACACAAAAGAGACTTCCGACGAACCGACCGTGTTTACTTTAACCAGAAATCCCAGCAGCGCTTTCAAGGCCTCCCGACAATCCCGACATCACAAAAATGGAAAGATTCAATCGAGACTTTCACCCGCGCTCTCTACAGTGGACTTATCGATTTCCAAGGGGACTGTGTATATGAAGATACAGCCATACGTGCCCAGAAGCTTGCTCGCATCATCCATGACCGAGACTCGCATGCCACATCCTCCATGCCAGATTCCATGATGGGAATGTGTACGGTAGTTGTGATTTTTCGAAAGGGGAGCATCATCTGCGAACTGCGCAACCTCAGATGCGGTCAGGCGAGATCAGGTTTGTCTGCCTGAAACACCCAAAGAAAACGATTCTCAGCTGACAGACGCCGGTGGACTCCATAGGGAGTCTCTCTCTATGCGATCTGAAACAGCCTGATCGAGCCTTTCTCCTGACTCTTGATCATTTAGGTACCTAATTGTGTTTGCTCACACTAGAGGCACGAAGGGTATGCAACTTGCAATCGGAAGACTGTGTCTTCCGATTCGATGATTCCAAGCGAGGAAAAGAGCGAATGGCTCCGCTTGCAGATCGCCCTCGTCGGAGGCTGCCGCATTGGTGACAGAATATTGTGCTAGTACAGAGAACTTGGAGACATTGATTCCGAGGATGTCTGCGCAGACGCCGGAACTCTCCAGATCCACTCGTCTTTGATCGAATGATAGGGGCTACACGACCCTAGTGGAAATCATGTCTTACCCGTGAGCCTCACAGGTGACTCGAGCACCAACCTGAGGCTCAGCAGGGCTCGTGACATCGAAGTCAGATACATACTGCCGTTGGTCACTGTCGCGAACCTGACGTTCACTCTTCGACCATCAGTCCTGAACATGGCTACGGGCTCATCGTGAAGCAGGCCTGGATTATTTTCGCTCGAAGCCGCACCACCGGCGGTGCTTTATCGCTCTCCGGAAACACGTTGCGTTGTAGGAATAACCTTGATCCCGATCGAAAGCGACTGTTCCTTCGCGAAGCTCAGCTGTTGAAACTAGAGATGAGTTCAGATGGGTTTCGACCCATTACACCCTCGATCCGGGGTATACACTGACGACGATGAGAATCGTTGCTGAATGACAAAGTATCTCTGTGTTTAATTTATTTTACAAAGTATCTCTGAAAGTTTCCTTATCTGATTCGTTATCTTGGTCAGATGTAGATCTACATCGGGGACGCGAACGTCCTTGGACCGACTTCTGTCAGTCGACTCTGCTTTCCAGAAAGGTCTGGACTACACCCAAGCACGAAAGCGGCGCTTCGCTCTGGGCGTTATATGCTTCAACGAGTCTCCTCGGCTGTTAGCTTACAAGTGTTTTTCTCACTATAATTCTTGCGGAGAACGACATCCAAAATCAAGAATGTTCGCTCCGTGTCGCTCGAAATCGATTACTTTATACAACAGTGACCGCTTCGCTGATTCCGAAAATACATTTCCTCTCGATTGGGAACCTCGAGAGTCTCCATGCAAAATTCAGACGTGATGTTGATGCAATCATCACTCAACAATCTTAATTGCGAAATGGGGCTGGGCATTTCCGTCCACGGTGGATCAGATGTCACATTTCCCCGATTGTTTTTCGTTCTTTCGTGAGAGGTGAAACGCACAGCTACTGCAAGCGCATGCACCTGCGGCGCCCCGAGCGACCTATCACAACCATGAACGACAATTCTCTTCCTGCGGCCCGGTTTTCGACGACACAGTTTGCGTTCGTAATCGACATCATGCTCTCTGACGAGTCAAATCTAACATCCGCTGGGGTACAAGAGGCGTCGCGAGATCAGCGCATTCGGAGGCGAAGTCGACACCGCAGGAGCAGCTCCGATCGGATACCGAGTGGATTTCTTTTTCTCCGCCGATGGCGAGGGTGTGCAAGGGCGACTTAAAAACGGGGCGCCATCACAGGCCGACTTCAGTCGAAATACGCTGAGTGTCAACATGTTGTTGGTGAGCGTGTTGTTGACGGTGGCGGGGACCGCTCTCAGTCAGATCCAAGTGCCTCACGGACCGGTGCCAACTCCTGGTCAATCTCCGCAGGCTGCAGCGCTCTACGGTCCGCCTCCTCAAAGTGCTGCGCAGAGGCTGCCCCCAGGTCCGCCGGTCCAGGGCGGCCGAAGAAGTGAAAATCTCTTCCTCTCTTCACCTTTTGATCCTTTCTTCTCGAACGCCGGATTTGTAAACCCTGGATTTCATGTGGCAGCTGGATATCCTGGATTCTTCAGTTCATACGGTTTGAGTCCACAACAGAACGGTGACGGCTCGTGGAACTTCGTGGCTCTGCCGATTCCCTTAGAAAATCAAACCATCCCCGAGGGCTTCCCGCGAGATCAGGTCGCTCAAGCTAAGCTCTGGGGACCGATCTACAGGGAAGGACAGGGCTGGATCTACGGTGACGCGGGAACAATACTTGTCCCGAAATACCCCCCGTATGCACCACCAAGATACGTGACCCCCGCGGCCCTCCAACCCCCCGCGGGGCCGCCCGCACCGCAGACACCTCCTGCCGCCGCAGCCGATGAATCAGAACGCGCACCTCTCGCAGAGGGAACTGCATTCATCGATACCAAAACTGGTAAATCCGTTGACGGCCGGAAGGCTGAGAACTCCAAAGCTAAAACGGAACGATTGAGGAAAAAGAACCCAGAAAATAGCGCAATCGGATTCGCTTATGAGTCGTGCTCACTCAGAGAAATTTCGGGAAGCATACCGTCGGGTACTGTGCAAGTGCCCTCATGCGAGCAGATGGGCGAGAAGGCAGGGAAGCAAACTGAGGCGGAACCGGATTCGGGCGGACTGCTCATATTCTTTTTTGAGCGACGAGCCTTGTGATTGATAACAGATGAAAGAGATTGGACCAGAATTTTCGGATTCGCAGGGAGTCGACCAGGCGTGCTTAGACCGCCACGTTGGTTCAATTGGCATTCCCTGAAGGCTACATGACCATCGGGACCAATGGGAGAGTCCCGAAAGAATGACGTGAAGGCCAAACAACAGCTTTTCGATACAGAGAGAGTGTATATAAGGAGTATCTTATTTAATAAAAGGAGCTGGGGCTGCATTGTAAATTTTTTCACACCCAACAGCCTAGAGTTCTTTTTTAAGCCACTGACGGCCGCAGTGAACACAGAATCATTCCGTCAATGTACGCCTTCATTTCCGCCGGGGATGGAGGGTTCCCCGTGCGAAGTTCCTCGCTGGGGTGATTTGACTCTGTTCGGCTCGGCTTGGGGATGAGGGAAGGTCCCTGCCGTGCGGTTTGACCAAAAAAAGGAAACGCTCAGTCAAGGGGTTAATTAACGTGACCTGATAATCGCAGAGGATAGCGCAATTACCAATCTGCTGTAATCATTCACTCGAAATAGTAACTCTACGGGCTCTAAGACTTCCCGATATCGGTCAAAGGAGATCCGAATGATAACCCGGACCATTGACCGGTCTGCTTCGAGTCCAAGTAAACAATGGAAGCTTTTCCGATCGGTGTCGAGTGCAAAATGACCCTGTGAACTTGGGAGAGTGATGACCCAGGCAAGAGAGGAACTTTACTCGCTTGACTCACGCTCTGCAGCGTGGAGCCTATTCGAAATGACTCGTCGAAACAAATATACAGTCGAATCCGCTTATAAGAAAACCGGTTAAGAGAGAAAACCGGATTTAAGAGACCGATCCCGATTCCCCGATTTTTTCTCCATAGGGCTTCATGTTGAAAACCTCGCTTATAAGAAACTCGGATATAAGAGAAAACCGGATGTAAGAGACAATTTTCAAACCCCAGCCCCATAGAGTTCCATGTTGGAGACCTCGTATATAAGAGAGAACCGTCTCAAGTAGAATTTCTGTTTGCTCTTCCATGACTCCTCTTCCTCTCGGAACCTGCGCGAATGAGATAATACGCCAGTTCGATAGTATCATTGCTCCGAAAATGATCGTCTCTCCACAGGATCATGATACCGGCATCCGAGTCATACGAGAACGAGATGTTTCGGGTCTTTTCATCGAAAGACCGTACCTCGGATATTAGAGAAACCGGATATAAGAGACCATTTTCAATTCCCCGAGAGGTCTCTTATAAGCGGGTTCGACTGTAATGTCGGACGATCAAAATGATCCAAGTTCGGGATTTCAATTGAACATCCATTCCCTTCGAAGGGGTTGGCCGACAGCTGCAGGAACAGCTTCTCAAGAGAGCGAACGACCACAGGAATTGGCTCGAAGATTGGTGGCGAGACGTTGCTTACCTGAGGAACAGAAGTCCGTTGATCCCGCTGAGTAATATGGCGGGAGCGTTTGGCCTCTTTGAATTCGCTAAAAACTACAAGGGACCTCGTTCCGAATACGCGGCCAAAGGTCTCTGCCATTACGTGAATTTTTGGCATTTAATCCGACGCGAAAAGCTGAAGCCCCAAAAGTTCCGTGATACGCCATGGAGCATGGATCAGTTCCGACGCGCTTTCAACACACACGCATACCTCAAGAGGTATGGCTT